CTACAGCATATTAGGATTAGCCCAAAACAAGAAGGAAAGGATGGATAAATGATGGATAAATGGACAGGAAAGACGAAAATAGCCCAGAATATATGCAACAAAGGACTCAAAAGTAACTCAAAGGAAGATCTGCATATGTTATCTCATCATTCATCAGTATGCTTATTTCTTTTCAAAATATGCTTTCTGAATTAAATTTTCTGTGCTCTAAATGTTAATTGTTTTACATCTGACATTTCTTCTTAGAACGGATATTTTATTCACTTAATTATTATTTTATAACAGGAGTCTGGTCCAACTTTCAACGCACCTCGACTATTCTACCGGGTACCTGCTACCTCCCACCCTAGAATAGATCATCTATTCCTGCCCGTGAGACCTTAATATATGATTTTTGATGGAAATACTAACCATCAAGCAGGGTAACTGATAAAAACAAAAGTTGTCGCATAGATTAGCATTTTCAAAATGAAAATAAAAATAAATACCCCCTCCGATCCAAAATAATTGATATTTTAGGCTTGGACACAGAGATTAAGGAATTCACTTACTCCTAGGAATGGGGGTTTGACTAAATGCCCTTAGTTATGATTTTTTTTTTAGGTTGACATAATTATCATGGGAATTAGGAATGTATCAAGGGAAAAATTGAGAAAAGGAGTTGAATACTTCTTGGTTTTGTGAAACATCAATTATTTTAGACCAACTTTTAGAGGCTAACAAATCATTTATTTTGGATTCGAGGGAGTATATAGAAGATGCAGAAACACAAATGTGCACTTCACTTCTTCTCAAAAGCCATATGCTTTTCATATACAACTGTGACCTTGACTGATACTATCTTAACAATTACACAAACTGCAAATTTCCAACGCAGCATTATGGAACTTTCAAGATTTTGTAGCGATTGCGCCAAATAGTTCGCAGAAAAGCTCCTATAGCAGTTATAGAATGACAGAGTGAGGGAATGGGTAGCATACAGTAATAGCTAGGAGGAAATCAACTTTACCCCTGTTTAGCGAACTCTTGAAGAAGCAGACCGTTGCCGGTCCCAATATCAAGCACACTCCAATCAGCCAAGTCCTTCTCATGTACCCCAACTTGCTCGCCATCACCTACATGATTTGACAAGTGATTTTGACAAATGCCAGTGCACAAACCTCGGGTCCATGAAGCAACAATTTCCATAACATCAGCACCAAACCTATAGAAAGATAGGGAAAATAATAGATTAAAATCATTTTTGATGAATGTTTTGTGTATCATTATCATTTATTAGGAACATAATAATCCAATGTTAGAATCACTATCCCATCACCACTTCCTCTTTCAGGTTATCTTTTAGGGGTTGGGAATGGTAATCTTTGTAAAAGATGGAAAGAAAGCCCAAAAATTGTCTTCCATATCTATAACCGAACAAAATATATCCTGAGCTGAAACAAATCTTTGTAAAAATGACAGAGCTGAAGCCAGACCCTTTTTCCAGCAAGGCTGCTAATATAATCAGATCTGTTACTCAAGATAACCAACCAAAGGACCTCATTAATAAGTTGTCCACAAAGACACAAATGTAAATGTAGATTACTTTTTTCTTAGTTGATTACCTTCTTCAGGTAATCTGGACAAAAAGAGTTTATTGCTACATGCTATCACCCATATGCTTCAACGAGTTTTAAGTAACTACAAGTTGAACGTTTGATCCACAATGATCACAAAAAGTAAAAGATATCTTACTGGATGGATGAAAAGGAAACACATTGCTTTCTTTTGGCCAGCTAATTCTTACCAAACTTCACCAGCATGACCATGCTCGCGATAATTTGCCAATTCATCAGCATACGCAGAATCCCAATAGCTCTGGAAACCAAGCATTGAAGAAACTCCTTCAGCATCTTGCTCCTCCTTGTCAGAACTGTTCGTACACGCAGTTGAAAAATCAGATATTTGCTTATTAAAGCTTTAGCAGTTGGAATTTACAGCTTGAGAAATCAACATAAGAGCAATATCACTTGGCAATTTTTTTGGAAGATGTTCCTAATCAATGATCTGAAGCATTTTTATTAATGGTGGAACCCATAAACATGCAGTTTCAGCTACTGCTTTATTCATGATTGACCTTACAATGCAACCCCAACAGCATTATTCAGCATCATTTCCATTATTAATTAGCTCCAAATAAAATTGTCTTGCCCAGTGCAAAATGAAACGATTTAGTTTTTTATACACCGACAACAACAGCATGTAGTCCCACAAAACACTGACACTGGGTAAACAATTTCTACACAATCAGATTACTTTAATGTCAATAACCATAATAAACAAGAATTTGTTACCTGCAAAAGCTGACAACTAACCGGAGGTGAAGCTAGAATTTTGAGTTTATGGGTTCTAAATTTTAGAAAAGACAACTTACTGGATGGATTCTACATAAATTATTTATATATTAATAGAATTTTGAACACAAATACAAATTCGCGCCAAAGTTAATAGCATCTGCTGGGGCGACCCCCTATTCAAACCAAAAGAAGTACCTCACCTAACTTGCGAAGAAATTGGTGGAGCTGGGTTCCGCACTATGAGAGGGTTTTTATCTTTCTCGGAGAGGTCTGATCAAACAGGGGATCAGACCACTCCCGGTGTTTTAACTAGTCACTAACCGGCTTAATTAGTACCCGTTCAGTATGCGTTGGCTCAGCCCCAATGACTAACCTGGTACAACCCATAAAATACTCATATTACACTGTCAGCTTCCACTTTATTCAAGTTTAACTTTATAATGCAGTTTCAATAGCATCATTTCCAGCATCAAATAGTTCCTAAATAATATTTCTATGAAGTTCAGACTAAATTACTTATCTATCAAGCATAATTTATTTTTTAACGAATTAGCTCCTAAAATTTTGCATCTAGAGGGAAAAAAACCTGTAATCGGAGGGTGCACGGTTATTGACAGCGGCGAGAGCTTCAGTAGCATCAGCATGACGTTGTTCATCATCAAGTGTACTTCCGTATTCGCTCTTTATCGACCACGAGTCCGCCGCTACTGATCGATCGTCGTCGGAGGTCAAGTCAGTTGCTGCCAATGTTCGCGCCGGCGCGACGTCGGAATCTTCAGGAAGGAGTCTCATTCCGACCATATATATCCGATGAACGGGAGAATATCGAAAGAGAGATACCAAAACCCTAGTCAGAAGAAGCAAAATGGGAATTTTCAGAGGGGAGAAAGAGGAAGTTGAGAAAGAAAGGATGGAAGGACACCTTTGTCTTTTCATCACTATCATTTTTTCATTTCACTATTAATAAATGTTAATGGTAAAAAGTGAAATTCAAATTCGAAAAAATTATTAATTTTATTCGCAAACTATTAGCACCCTCAAAAATACATTTCCCCTTAACTTTCTCATGTAATAAGATAGGTGATCTCAATTCTTCTCTTTGATAGATTAAAAAAATGTCACATCGGTTTTATATGTGTATAGTTCCTTTTTTTTCAATTTTTATTAATGGCTACAATTGCTGACTTCTTCCTATAAAATTTAGGGGAAAGGGCTAAAATTACTTTGAACTATCTGAAAAGTGAAAATTAAATTCAAAAAAATTATTAATTTAAATTCTTCGATAAAATCTTAGTCACAATAAAGAATGGTTTGAGTCTTAGCTCAAAAAATTTTGGGGTGTTACATGAACAAACCCAATACTATGAGAGCTTACATACCTCGAAAGAATTAAGTTCTTGGCGAAAATCCTCAAAACTTGCAAGAATCTTGAACGTTCTTCTTTTTCTCCTCTTGAACTTCTCTAAAAAAAAAAAACCTAAGCTCTTTTGGAATGACTAAAATTGATTCAAATCAGTTTAGACCCCAAAAAGGGTGAAAAAACGTGTAGGCCTAGTGGGGTAAGGAAAAGACCAAAACATCCCTCCTTAAAACGGATGAATTTCCTTAACTAGACAGGTTGCACTCAAACGGGCATATCCTTCATCCAAACTTGGAATTTAGCAAACTTGGCGGTGTTGGAAAAAGGACTCAATGACCTTTGATTTAATATCTCATGGGCCACCTAACTCATCATGTGCTGAAAGTTATGATCGTGTGAAGTTGACCCAAAACTCACAGTCGAAGAGTAACTTGTACCAAACTCAATTTAGCTCTTTCTAATATAACTCTTTCTAAATTTAACTCTTTCTAAGACCGAGGTGTTACAATCCTATCAGTACATTGTGGTTGTGTACTGATACTGCACTTGCTCTTTTTTTGTTGAGTACATGATATATTCAGGCGGCTACATCGAAATCTCAATTGTGATACAAGCGGCATTTGAATTCAAGGCTGAGCTACTTCTTCCAAGCTGCCATTGATTCTTCTCTACCTTTTGATCCATCTCTTCAGACTAAGACATTTATAATTTATTGCTACTAATTTTGGGATTGCATACCATATTCTTGTCTATTTTAGAGTTTTGGCACATGTTTCTCTTTATTATTTCTTTATTAGATGTCTTTGATTTGACATGATAAACAAAAAAAAATAAAAATCTTTGTTGATTGTTTATGTAGAACTATTGTACTTGACATTGATCCACGTCTCAAAACAACCAAAAAATATTAAGTACTCTGTTGTTTTATAAGTTTTGGTTACTAAAATGTGAAAATGAACATCTACTTTTAAACAAATTGAATGAAAAAAAGAAAATATTTTTTCCACTACGGTCTCTTTTACTTCATATTGTAATTATAGGTTATTCGGATGATTGCTATTTATTATGTTTGTTATTGTAATATACTGTAATATTTATTTTGATTATTACTTAAGCTTACTATATTTTTTATAAGTTGTTTAGATCATTGTTACTTATTATATTATTATTTAGGTATATATAATGTTTGTTTGATTGTTACTAAAATTTATACTATGTTGTTAACTATGACAATGCAATGCCATACTTTTTATTCTCGGTTCCAGTGTATTTGTTCATATTATTATTTTGAATTTATGTCCTTTGTCTTTGTGGGTAATTTTTTTTTTTACTTTTATAGAGAAGTATTTCATGGAGAGCACTCTGAAGTATCATGCTTCTTGTATGGATTGATCATCTACTCTCAACATTTTTTCTCCAATTTATGAAACAATATTGTATGATAATATAATTACAACATTTATACGGTGCTATACAATTTAATTTTTTGTATTTTCTTTAAAATTGTTCATTTTGAAGAAGTAATTTATAAATATTTTTTTCATATTTACTAATTTGAAATAATTACGTATTGTTTCACTAAGGCGAGTGACATAGTTATTTTACTCTATCTACATGTGAATCACAGTAGATACTTCTATTTGGAACACCAAATACATTCTAATGAGGATGAATGATCAAGGGCTTAAAGAAAAATGGGTCAGGAGCGGGGTGAGTTCAAATTTTGGATAGATTTTATGTAATTCAAAATAAATAAAAACAAGACAAATCATAATAGGCCACATACTATTTTAAAGAGCAAAATTTGACCCAAATTCAAAATTTGTTTGAGGGTAACCTTAAGTCAAAAATTAAAGGTTGAGGGTATGTTTAGATATAAAAGTTGAAGAACGTTATTTGTGAGTTATTTTTTAAATATTAGAAATACTTTTGCCTCATTTTTGTTGTATAAATTAATCTAAGACGTTTTATGAATTTCGTAACTTCAAACCAAATCCTCTTATACATATGATAATACCATATTGAGTTATGTGATACAAGTACGATTCAAAGTGGAGACTAGTAAAACTTTGGTTTTAAGCCCCCCAAAAAATTAATATTGATTTATACATTTATTTTTACTTACACAAATAAAGAAATTTGCAAGGAAAAGAGTACAAAATCTTTATTAAAAAGTAAGGAAAGAAAGATTTTTAAAATACCCTTGAACTATTGGAAAGGGTACCAAGCTATCCTTCATCCACCTATTGGCTCTCAAATATCATGTCATCCACCTTTGGGTCCAATATTGACCACTTTTACAACAGGTATCATTTAAATACGTGATGATCATCTATTGGTTACAATTTAATTGCTTAAATTAATTTACAAACTCACATATTACTAATTTTTATCCGATCCAAATTGACTACACTCAACTCAAGTTAACTACACCCGGCTCAAATTAACTACTTCCGACCCAAATTACATTTATCCCACCAATTAAAACAAATACACCTTTTATTCCTAATATTTCACTTTCTCTTCCAACCTTACTTCCCCAATAAATTTGCATACAATCTCAAAAAATACTACATAAATACACTCATGTATATATCACCATAAAAAATCATGAGTGTTTTGGTGATTTCTTATGGTGATACATGTGTGTATTTAGGTAGTGTTTTTCAAGATTGTAGGCAAATATATTGGGGAAGAAGGTTGAAAAATGAAGTGAAATAATGGGAATGATGGGTGTATTTTTTTTAATCGGTGGGGTAAGGTAATTTGGGTCGGGTGTAGTTAATTTGGATTGGGTATAGTTAGTAATGATTGAGTTTATAAATTAATTTAAGTAATTAAATTTTATCCAATAGATGATCGCCACGTATTTAAAAACATTATTTAAATGATAATCCGTTATAACAGTGATCAATATTGGACTCAAAGATGGATGGTAGGGGTATTTGGGAACCAATAGATGTCTGACATGGGTATTTGGGAGTCAATAGGTGGATGAAGGATAGTTTTGTACCATTTCCAATAGTTCAAGGGTATTCTAGACCCTTTTCCGTGGTAAAAATTGTTTGACCTTAAATTAAACAACTTAATTTTTCATATTAGTAGATAAAAAAATTTTATGCAATAATATCTAAGGTAATGTATAATATACACATGACTAACTTATAATTAACTTGATATAATCCTAATTACATTATTGGATAAATTACCTATATACACACCTTTTTTTTTCCCATAATTTTCATTATTCCATACCGATTCTAAAATTTTCCAAAATCCCTTATTTTACTCTCAAACTCCCAAACGTTGGATACATAAATCCTAACTCTCAAACCAACATTTATCCCTTCCTTATTTCACTTCACAAATCTCTCCTTATTTTTAGTCACAAAATCTTGATAGTTATTTTCTCAATCACGTTTGAAATTCAAAATCAATCTCTTTTCGGTAGGTTAAGGATATTTTTAGACAAAAAAGTTTTAAAAAAGATATTTATGAGTCTTTTACCTATTTTTTAAAATACTCTAAAATTTATAATAAAATAAACTATGTGAACTTCAAATTTTCTACACTAAAACGTAAATTAGAAGAAAAAATAAATAGTAGTAGTTGTTATTATTTGTTAATAATTAATATAATATTTGAAGAAGTTCTTGCCTTTTCTGTCGTCTTTTTTTGGCATAATACATATATTGGACCCTAAACTTGGCTTCAAATTTCAACTTTGACCTCCAACTTTCATAGTGCACAAATAGGCACTTTAACTATCCAACCTTTTAATAAATAAACACGCGATTTTTGGAGGCAAAGAGCGTGAAATGCAAATGCTCCCACGTGTATTAGTGAGCCAATCAGTGGCTGCCAACTAATTAAATACTTTACACGTCCATTTTAGAACTAAAAAAAAATTAAAATTATTTTTAATTAATGTACAAGGGTTATAGCTCTTTTTTACCCATAATTAAAAAAATCCACCCAAATAACTAAGACCCAATCCAAATTATAACCCGAAATCTTCATATGCCCATTTCAAAAATAAAAATAATTTTAAAAGAACTCAAATCTTGCTACCACAGGCCACAACATACATCTCAAATGAAAAGCAACACACTGAAGCATATCAAAGAATCAAATCAGAAACAAAATTAACATAAATAAACTTTCAAATTCCAAAGGAAAAAAAATCAATCTTGGGGTAAGAACTCTCTCTACTTCAATCAATAAATTATAAGTCCTATTATGCTTAAAGAAGTAATGGAATACTCTGAAGACTAAATTGATGAAAATATCAAAATTTTATCAGAAAGGTCAAATCTAAAACCTATCACTACATTAGAAGACAAATTCCAAGATCGAAATGCTTCATAAAAAATTAAATTGAGCACTTTGAGGTCTAGATTGATGAGCAGATTCAAATTTTGTCGGAAATCTCTGTAAACTTTAACGCTTTAATCTTTGCCTAGGTCTATTTCCATGGCAGTTGAAGCAAGACACTTCACTCAACAACAAC